TAAACAGCATCATGGTAAGTGGAGAAAAGACTGAAGCTGTCAGAGATCTCATGTGACTTGGATCCACAATCAACACCAATGGAAGCAGCAGCCAAGAGTTAGAAGCTGTGCACAATGCAACGATGAGACATAAAATTAGTAATAAACCAAGGGCAAGCAGTCTGTGCGTCTTTTTTTGAAATACCTACTTTGTGCACTCTCACAGTGCAATCCTCTCCCCGACCCCACCACCAGCCTTTTATTTATTCTTTCTTCAGTTGTATATGTTTCTTTCTTAAAAAAAAAAAAAAAAAAAGTGTATTGTGCTTTGAGTGCAAATTTACAGAGCAAAATGTGTTTTACATTCAACAGTTCATGTACATTTGATTTCACTCTCCAATTACCATCCCCGACCATAACAGACTCTCCTTTCCTCCCGTCCCTGTGACCACCACCTCCCGTGCCCTTCTGAACTATGTACTCCTGTCTCTCCAGCTTTCCCTCCATGTGAATGCTGCCCCTCTGGTGTCCATGGGCAATTGCTCTAAGGTGTGTATCTCCCTAGAGTAGGTAGGTGCATTGCCTTGGGGTAGGGGTTCTGTATGTAGGTGAGATGGCTGAGAGCCAATCCATGGGAGTGAGTCCAATCCTAGGCCCAAAGGGTAACCCAGGGCCATAGTCCTGGGGGTTCCACCAGACTCCATCCAACCAGTAATTCTGGTCATTTTTGTGTTTTTGAATTTTGTTCCACATTTTTCCTCCCCCTCTACCCAGGATCTGATCAGTTTTGATCCCTTCCTGAGTGGTTGGCATTGGTAGCCAGGCACCATCTAGTTTTTCTGGTCTTGGGGTCCACTGTATCCTTGGACTAGTTGTTTTCAGACGCTTTTGATTTTTTTTTTTTTTTTCACTCTTCTTTGCTTCAGATGAGAGGAGACCAATAGTTGTATCTTAGGATGGCTGCTCAAAAGCTTTTAAGACCCCAGTCGCTACTCACCAAAGTAGGTTGTGGGCCAAGATTTTTATGTACTGTGTTGTGCCAGTTGAGCTTGGTATCCCCAAGACTATCATTCCGAGTCGGCAGGCCTGGTGATTCTCTCTCTCTAGATGCTTGGTGGTGATGTGTGTAGCTAGTTTTGTAGCACGTGCGCATATGTAAGATTATCTTCAGCTAAATCTGTCGTTGGTTTAGGGTCCATTCCTGTTCACTGACTCCCCACACCTGATCTTCTCAGTTGTCTATGCACGTTATCTGCAGCCTGGTGTGTGCTGTTAGTGGTAACGTGGTATCGTTCATATACTGGTATTAGCCTCTGTTGTCTACATCCTATGACATGTTTCAGTGTCCTTCTTTCCCCAATGTCACCATGTTGGTCACAGACTCTTTCCACACCATCCCTCCCCTCACCCAAATCAACATGTGACCCCCAACTAGTCCGATATTTTCCCTCCCCTTCCCTCCCATCCCTGGTAACCTACAAAGTTAAGTTTCCTTCCCTAAGTAAACCTTTCCTTGACTTTTTACAATAATGGGCTCATAGAATATTTGTCCTTCTGCGATTGACTTATTTCATTCAGTCCGTCCTCCACGCTCATCCGTATTGTGAGATGACTCACGTATCCTTCATTGTTCTTTAATGTAGCATAGTATTCTATTGTGTGAATGTACCACAGTTCGGCTATCCATTCATCTGTTGGTGGGCATTTAGGTTGTTTCCATCTCTTTGCTATAGTGAATTGTGCCGCAATGAACATGGGTGTGCATATGTCTGTTTATGTCCTGTCTCTTACATCTTTAGGATATATTCCTAGTAATGGAATTGTTGGATCAAATAGTATTTCTATTTTCCGTTTTTCAAGGAAACACCATACCATTTTCCACAACGGCTGTACCATTTTGCAGTCCCACCAGCAGTGTATGAGAGTTCCAGTCTCTCCGCAGCCTCACCAGCATTTGTTATTTTATCTTGTTGAACTTTGCCATTACTGCGGGGGTGCCATCAGCCTTTTAGACTTAAGTATATAAACACCCCCTTGACAGCCAAAGGCCAACCCACACTGCTGCTCCTCCCGCTGGGGCAACACAGACAACCCCAATTCAGCCTCAGAACTTCCTCAGCCAATCCCACTGAACACAGCGGTGAGGTTCCATCCAGGAAAATCCAACAGAAGAGCCGGGGGCTTTCCGCCAGTTCTCCGGGATCCTCATCATGAACTATTTCATCTGGATCACGGCTTCTCGCTCATTTTCTACAGCAGCTTCTTAGAACGCGGTCTACACACCACCTCCACCCGAAGCACACGGAGGCACCGGTGGAAAGTTGATCTCCTAGGCCCTACCCCGTGCCTACCAAATCGGACCCTGAGGGCATGCGGCCTAGGATCTGCACTTTAGCAAGCTTCCTAAGTGTGTTGAACACGTACAGGTGAGAAGCACTGTTAAGATACAGCTGTGAACATGTAAGTCATTAACTCAAATCCTGAGTGCCATAATAAGTGCCAAGGCAGCGGGGCATGGTAGGGAAGAGCCTGCAGCCTGACTACCTGACTCCAACCTTTGTCACTCTCACTTACTGGCTGTGTGACCATGGGCAAATTACCCAACCTCTCTGTGTCTCAGTGTCCTCATCCGTAAATGGACCATAGTATATCGTACGAGCTCAAAAAGTTCATCAAGATCTAGCCCTTCTTCAGCGTTATCGGACAGTTCAACACAGAGATTGTGCCTCCTGGCAAATCAAAGCCAGGAAGCCTTTAAGATCCTGGAAGATACGTAATTTACCTCAGTTGTGTAAAGTGACAAACACAGAAATCTTCAACCCTAGAGAGGGGAGAGAGTGAATCAAGTGACTTTTGACATCAAGCCTGTTTAACTGATTTTCCACAGACACTGGAGCTGGGGGTGTGGGGGACGGGTTTATAAGAACTCATGAGCACAAACGGGATGACAATGCCTCAGAGAATAGCTTGGTAGTTTCTCCCAAAGTTGAACACAAGCTCCTCTCACTCCAAGGCCTTCACCCAACTGAGCTGAACACAGCCGTCCACACAAAAGCCTGCACGTGAACTTCCTGGCAGCTTCACTCAGAACTGCCCCAAACTGGAAACAACCAAGATGCCCTTCACTAGGGAGCAAAGAAACCAACAATGGAGGGTTCTGGATGTTCAATCGCACAGTAGAAACCGTCCAGCCGTGAGAAGAAACGAGCTATCGAGACACCAAGAGCCACGGAGAAGCTTTCAAGGCATAGGGCTAAGTGAGGGAAGCCAGGCTGGAAAAGCCACATACCGTACACTTCCAACTATCCGATGCTCCAGAAAAGAAACGAGAGAGACACTGGAAAGGTCAATGCCGCCAGGAGCCCCGTGGGAGGAGAGGGGTTAACAGGGCGGTGAGCCACTGTGCAGGACCCCATACTGACGGCTACATCCCATTACACATCTGTCAAAGCCCAAAGGCCTGCACGACACAGAGCGTGGCCCCTGATGTACTCCAGTGGGTAACAACGTGTCTCTACCAGGCCGTCAAGTGTTGCACACGGACCACCCAAATGCAGGCACGACGTCAACAGGAGGAGAGCCGGGGGGCAGGGACACGCTATGCTCTCTGCACCATCTTTCCGTCAACCTAAAACCACTTTAAAAATGAAAGACTATTAATTTTAAAAACACACACAGTGTGATAATGATGTGCAAAGCGACCAAGTTATTCTCCCCAAACACTTCTGTGGAAGTCATCTCTGGCCACAGAATCAACCACAACTTCCAACACGTCCCTTGAAGATCAGGCCAGGGATGAGAAAGGCTCCTGACCAGATTCCAAATGAGATTTGCAGCCACAGCATCAGAAACTTGTCACTAAACTTAAGATCGGATTTTATTCTCTCCCTTTCAGAGCCTGGGAGCTTTGGTAAGCTGGGTAAACAGGACATTCTCGTAACCGATCCAGGGCGTCTGGGTGGCACAAATGGTGAGCACGCGCGGCTATGAAGCTCAAACCCGGAGGTTCCAAACCAGCCAGGGGGCCGGCAGAAGAAAGGCCTGCGGTCAACTTCTGGAAAGCCAGCCGCTGAAAACCCTCAGGGCACAGCGGCGTCTGACACACACGGGGTTGCCGGAGCTAGCATGGACTCAGTGGAAACTGGGGGTGACCACAATCCGCGGGTCTGTGGGGGCATTTGGCTAAAAACGCATGGCATCTGGCATTTGCCCACAGAGAAAGCTCAGGAGGCAAGAAGGGGCAGGGAAGATGGGTGGATAGCAACAGGGAACCCAGGGATCAGAGGGAAGAGCGCCGTGACACCGAGGGGGCTGCAACGAACGTCCCGAAACAACACGTGTACAGAGTGGTGAACGGGAAACTGTTCGTTCTGCAAACTTTCACCCAAACCACAGGAAGATGTTCAAAAAAAGAGGACCACGCTAAATGTCAACACATGCAAACCCATTTGATAATTTTGAAGGAATTGGACAGCTTCTGTAGTGGCCATGAAAATGCACCTCTTCACATTCCGACTGTAGGCTGGGCCACATCTGTTCTGAGGCCACACCTCCCACAGCTGGCCCTCTAGGGAGACGGAGGCAGGCCCTGGATAACAGGATTCCTCGGATGGCGCCCAACAACCTTGTGAACTTCCTTAGATGGCGCCGGGGCTGGGACGCTCCCCCCAGACCCCCTTTCCTCTCTCCTTCACGGGGTCAGACGTGCACTGCAGCCCAGTGGCTCTCCCAGTCTCCCCAGCTCCCATCCCCTCTCCCTCACAGGTGTTTCCCTAATAAATCTCCTGCAAATCATTTAAAAAAAAAAAGTGTGGCATTGGAATCAGCAAGCCCGCTGCCGTCAGCACCCACGCCGTGGCTGTTCCTGCCCTGGGAAGGCTGACACCCCCTTGGCCACCCTCACGGGCAGTGGTCCCCAAGGATCAGGAGAGCAGCGTTTCTTCTCCCACTGCGTCTCGAACCACGTCTCCTCCAGAAAGAAACGCCTGGGTGGCAGTGCCTTCCTGGGACGCTCAGCTCACTGGCCCACGGGTCCCCAGCAGCAGGGGCGCCGGGTCCCGCTCTCTGAGGGCCATGATCCTCAACAGCGTCTCCAACCTGAGAGCTGACCACAAAATGGACAGAGCAGCAGCCTGAGGCTTGCTCCCAATCTCCTCTCCGACGACGGTCTCGGCAGCGCGCACCAGAACAGCAACCCCGTCCCTTCCTCTCAGACACGTGGCCTGGACTGCACTCCGGATCCACCCAAACCCGCAGCCAGGCCCGGTGCCCTCCCACCCAGGCCCCATCTGGCCCTCCCGAGAGCCCGGCTCCCCCGCTCACGCCTCCAGCTACCGACGGTTCCCGAGGGCTCCCCCACCTCAGGCCACAGCTCAGGTGTGACCTCCCCTGAGGACCCCGAGAAAGGATCCCCAACTCCCTGCACAGTCAATTCCTATGAAACACCAGTTTTCTTTGCAAGAGCACTTCTCATCAAAAGCGTCCGGGAAGCAGTATGAGGAATGACTGCATGTACTCTGGGGCCGGGGCGCTGGTGGGGATCCCGGCTGCCACCCCGGGACCTGTGGGGTCCTGGGTTCTCGTGCGGCACTCCTCTGTTTGCAGGGATGGTGACAGCTTCACTTAGCAGGCCACACTCAAGTACTAGGGACTGTTGTCATCTCCTCGCCAGTTGTCTTACGTCTGCTCCGACAGGCTTCTTGTCTGCCTTGTCCATCACTGAACTTCAGCACCCAGGACTGTGATCAGCACACAGTGGGTGCTCACAAGTATCTGCTGAGTTACCAGACAACTCAGAACAGGTTTTTCACAGAAGCTGCTCCAGCCACGAGTGGTTTTCGTTTGCGGCTCTGCAATGAAAGGGCCGATGCTCACGTTCTGGGCCTGGTGGGCACCTGCAGTCTCTGGGCGGAGGAGACGGTGCTGACCGAAAGGCTGGAGGCGGGGGTCCGCTTGGAGGAGCCTCAGTGATCTGCGTCTGGAAACTCAGGCCCGAAACCCGCTGGAGGCACGGGTCTCTGACACTCGGGGTGCTGGGGCTGGGAGCTGACTCAGGGCGTCTGCATGTTTTCAGTGTATCCTGAAAGAACGTCCCCGTGTCCCAGAAAAAAGGTTTTTGGTTTTGTTTTTACTTTTGGGAAGCAGACAGGAGGATTTTGATGTGCGATTTCTCCAATTCTGCATCATACAATTTTCCAGTTAAGACATCAGTGCCCAGCATGTGAAGATCGGGACACAATGAGGCAGTGTGACCTCATTCTTTGCAATGCACTTAAACCCCAGTGAAGGGCGCCCCCTTCTTTGGGCCACTGTCTTGATTACTGCATGGAATGTTTTTGTTTTCATTTCCTTGGCCCCTCCGGCTCCCGGGGTTAGAACCAATGGTTAGAGAGGGGCAGCTCCTAAGCTGGGCACGTCGCCCCTGAGTCCAGGCCATCTTCTCCTGGGTGCCTTAGGTGACTCAGGATTCACACGCCGCTCAAAGGCAGCACAGCTAACCCCGCCCGGGGCCAGTGCTGGGGGGCGACCTCCCGTCCCCCCAGCAGAGACCGCGGGCTCCTCGCCATCCCAGCCCAGGCCAGCCCCCGCTGCGGGAAGGGCAATTCTCTGCAGCCTTTGGCAGAAAGGAGCAGAGAGCGGTATCCTGGCTCCAAGTCCTTGGAGGGTCCATCTTTGACCACATTTAAAAAAAAAAAAAAGGTTGGGGGGACATAGAAGTGGAGCGTACTGATGTCTACAACTTCAAAACATCTAATAGGATGGATGATGGGTCAGTGCGAGATGAATAAACAGTGAATGGACGGTTGAAACGACAACGCAAACACAGCAGAAGGCTAACGGAACGGAAGCCGTGGGCTGTGCACGGCCAGGGCACAATCCTTTCAGCTTCTCTGTATATTTGAAAATTTTCACAGCAAAATAAAAAGTAGTTCAAATTTACTCAAAATATCAAGTAAATAAAATTACAAAGCCATACTGACTAATAAACAGAGAACTCTACAGACTCCTACAGGAGCTTTGGTGGAGCAGTGGTTAAAGCACTCGGCTACTAACTGAGAGGTCAGCAGCTTAAACTCACTAGCCGCTCTGTGGGAAAGAGATGTGGCAGTCTGCCACTCCACAGGGTCCCTGAGAGTCAAAGTCAATGCACAGCAACGGTATGCAGACTCAAGCCATTTCTGAATGACATTCTTCCTTATTTTCTGTATAAGGTATTCTTTACCCCAAAAAATACTTCCACCTTCTCCTCAAATATTCTTAAGTATTCCTCAAAAATCTATACCCTCAACCTCTTCAAAACCATACAAACTGGTGTAATTTCCAAGAGAGGTAGACCTTGCAGCCCTGGCATTCCTCTGGTAGCTCAAAGGGCCACAGTCCACACGGCATGCTATCAGCCCCAGCAGTGACATCAGAAGCTAAACAAACTGAGCACATCCTCACAAAATCCTATGAGACAACGAAAAAGATGAACAGTGACTAGGCAACGAGAATCTGCTAGTTCAAAAGACAGGCGGACCCTAGAAGATCTATTGTTTCCTTCTCATCTAATCCGAAGGGTGAACAGATCAACAAGATGTCCCGCTGTGACATGAAATTCCCACTGAGGAGAAAAGCTGACTGAGGACTGATGTTGTTGTTGTTATGTGCCATCAAGTTAGATCCAACTCATAGCGACCCCTCCTTGGGTTTCCGAGGCAGTATCACTACGGAAGTAGATTCCCAACCTTCCTTCCGAGAAGTGGCTGGTGGGTTTGAACCGCCAGCCTTCTGGTTAGCAGTCAAGTGCCTTTGCCACTATGCTACCAGAGCTCCTAATGCTTTGATAAGCCATTACAAACGTAACTGAAACAAATGAAAGAACAGAAAATCTCAGCAAAGAAACAGAAAATACATAAAACAACCAAATGGAAACTTTGGAACTGAAAAATACAGTAACCAAAATTAAAATGGCACTAGCCAGGCCTTAAGAGCAGAAGGGGAGGGTGGAGGAAAGAATGAGTGAACACGAGGACACAACTACAGAAAGGGTCCAATCTGAACAACAAACAAACGGGGGGCTAAAAAGGAGCAGATACCCACAGACCTGGGTCTGTAACAACAGAGCCAGCGTTCATGTCACCTGAGCTGCAAAAACAGGATAAAGTGGGCAGGGTGAAAAACATTTGGAGAAAAAAATGCCTAAAAACATCTCAAATTTGGCCAAAAGAAACAAACAAAAACCCACAAACTTACATATTCATAGAAGCTACAGGATAAATGCAAAGAAATCTACTCCAAGACGCACTGTAAGTAACTTACAAAAGACAAAACATTTTGAAAGCAGCCCGAGAAATGCACCTTACTGAGCTTACCGACAGGAAAAGAACAATTCGAGCGGCAGTGGGTTTCTCATCAGAAACCATGGAGGCCAGAGGAGGAAGCACAACATTTTCAAGGGCCAGCAGATAGGCACTGCCAACCCTGAATGCGCACCAGGTGGACTCACCCTTCAGGAATGAGGAGGAAATCAAGACATTCTCAGAGGACGGGAAACTGAGAGAGTGTGTCACCAGGAGACCTCCTCTAAAAGAACAGCTAAAGGAACTCCTCTCAACAGAAAAGAAAATGGCAAAAGAATGAACCTGGGAACATGAGAAAGGAAGAAAGTACAACAAAAAGAGCAAAATGCGGGTGAACACAATCGGCTTTCTGTCTCCTCTTGAGTTTTCTGAATTACATCGGATGGTTGAAGCAGAAATAGCACTGTCTGATAGAGTTCTCAATTACATAGAGGAAACATTTAACACAATTACATTATAAATGGGGAGGGTAAAGGGACATAAAAGGAGATAAAGCTTCCACACTTCATCTGAACTGATGAAATGATTCCAGTAGATGGTGTATGTGCACGCATGCTATGCAGACTCACACACACACAGACACAGCCGTGGCCGCACCACTCAAGCAATCATTCAAACGGCCACACAAAGACACTCACGTTCCCTCAAAAACCCTGTAGATGAATCAAAATGGATTCTGAAAAATGTTCAAGTAACCCACAGGAAAAAGAAAACAGTGAAATGAAAAAGTGAGAGAAAAACAGGAAACTAAATAATGGAAGACTTCAGCAGTAATATATCAATAATGACCTTCAGCCTAAATGTCATAAATACAACAATTAAAAGGCACCTATCTAGGTAGAGGTGATAAAAACTGTTAACTGACCGAGATGCTGTGTACAAGAAACTCACTTCAAATACAAAACTATAGGTGAGCTGAAAGTAAGAGGATTAAAAAAAAAAACATACGTGATGCAAACAATAAAAAGAAAAGTAGGCATGCCTATATTAATATCAGATAAAGAAGAATTCAGAGAAAAGAAATTTATCAGAGACAGAGAGGGACATCACATAATGACAAAAGGGTCGATCCAAGAAGACAACGAAGCAATTGTAAACGTATGTGCACCGAACAACAGAGCTATGGAATAGGTGAGCCCAGTACTGACAGAACCCGGAGAAACAGACAAACCCACAACTGTAGCTGGAGACGTCAACACCCGTCTCTCAACCATCAATAGAACAGTCAGAAAATCAGCAAGGAATCAGAAGAACTCAACACCACCATCAACACTCTAACGGATAAGATACACCCCACTGAATCACAACACATTACCTACTCTCTTTTTCTTTAAACTGGGATTTGGGTGAAAATTTACAAATGGGTTTTCCATTCAACAATTCATGCACATTTTCTTCTGTGACACGGATTGTGGTCCCCACAATACACAGCACTCCTCCCACTTCCCGTGTTTACCATCCCTTCCACCCCTTTTTCCTATGTCCACCCCGCCCCCGCCTCCCCTTCCTGCCTCCTGAGCTGTGTCCTTTGGCAAATGCTGGCTTTTTCATCTCATAAGGCTGAGATCTAGGGAATACCCTCCTGGTGTTACTGTTCACCTCACAGGCCTGTCTACCGTTTGGCTGGAAGTTGAGCCATGGGTATAAGTTCAGCTATCATAGCGACCCCTCCTTGTTGCTACTCACCAAAGTAACACGTAGAACATTGACACTGTGGACTGTGTTGTGCCAAC